AACTATATTATTAAACCTAAATTAAATTTCTTTGTTACTAAACCTAAATTAAACTATAATTAAAAATTTTGAATTAAGGATATTACACCAAAACACAAGAACTTTTAAAAAGATTAATTTGATACTATATCAATATATTTTTTATCAAAAATTTATAATATTTTCAAATTTATATCTTATTCAAAAATAAAAACATTACCGTTTTTTCAAAACCATATAAAACCGTATTATATCGACATAAAAAGAAATAAAATGAAATAGTCAAATCAAGATGTGTCTCGATGCATTGCACAAGTACCCTTCTAGTCTTTTCAAATAAGACATTTTCTGGTTCACGTCTGAGAATGAAAATTTGGGCTTTTGAGAAATGAATTCTTCATATTATATAAAACTAAACAGTTTCTTTTATTATCATTCTCATTGATTACTGATTAATATTTTTAACCAAACACCTCATGTTTTACTTAACTAAACTTTTTGTATAGAAAAATTTTCAAAAAAAAAAAATCCAACAAACTTTCTCGTTTTGAATGGTTTAGTTATTCAAGTTATTATTATTTTTGAATGAAAAACCCATTAAACTTTATCATTTTGAATGATTAAGATACTGAATTTTTCTAAAACATAAATGAACCATCGAACTTTTCGATTAATGTGACCTTTTTTGATAAAAATAATATAGATAACCAATTTCTAAATGTGTGATGATTTATTTATTAAAAAAATGTTTCATGAACTTAATCAATCAAAATGAAAAAGTTTAATGTTTTTTTTCATTAAAAAAATAGTTCAGATACTTAACCATTAAAAATGATAAAGTTTATGGATTTTCATTCAAAAAAAATAGTTCAGGGATTTAATCATTAAAAATGATAAAATTTAATAGTTTTTTCATTAAAAAAATAGTTTAGCGACTATTTTGTAGAAAATGTGTTCTTACATTAAAAAGGTTTGTACCAATCAAAAACGAACAAATAAATTCTTAAATTTACTAAAACCGAATTTTTTAACAGACTTTCATATTATGAGTTATCAAGGGGTTATTTACCAAATACTTACTAATTCACTTACCTTACTGGGTGAGCATGTCAAACACTAATAATCATATCCAGTAAAAAGCATGACAACAACCGAGGTTCTTACTCAGCGAGGAATAAAACTTTTACCTGTTTTAGCGATTACTGGATAAAAGACGCTTACAAAACAATCTACTTTGATGGCAAAAAATGTTATCTGACAAGGTAAACGAAGATGCTAACGTTTGTCCGTAAACGTTTACCTGGTAAAAAGAAAGAAAACACAGTGTTCCCCTCTCGATGTATCAACATATAATAACCATGTAATATACAATTTCCGTCAATAATCATTTACTTTTTCAGATTGACAATCACATGTGTTTGTTATGGTCACGTAGCTTCTAATTTATATCTCGAAAAAAAAAACAATGGATATTGAATACGGTATTAATTCTAATCTATTGGTTTTTTTTTCTTCATATTTTAGTAAATGAGGCCAGTGGCCGTTTACTATATACTTATCCAGTAAGCGTTTAACGGTATAATTCAACATCATCACTTTTTTACCGGGTAAGATTTTAGTCTACTAAAATCTCATTGTATACAATTATTTACCCGAAAAGTGTTGACCGTGGTAAGAATCGTGACAATCACTTACTGGGTAAAATTCTTGGTCAGTTACATATCCATCGGGTAAGTTAATGGTGACTTGATAAATGCTTACCTAAATAAGCGTTTGGTAAGCGACCCTTTTATCACTCAAAGTATGGGTAAGATTTTCGTTCGTTTGAATTTATTGGGTTTATTTGGCATGATTTATTTTACGTAATTCTTTTTCTTTTCAAAATTTTCTCTAGCATCACTACAATTTTTGCAAGCAAGGGTACTTACGTAAACATTCTATCTACCACTGATGGTACTAGGGGTGCTCACGAGCCGGGTTATTGGTTTGGAGCTGTTTTAACAACTCAACCCAATGTTGGCGGTTTGAAAATTCTCAACCCAACCCAAACAAAAGTTCAACCCAACCCAACCCGTTCGGGTTGATCGCGTTGTGTTTAAACAATGTAAAATCACATAAAAATAAAGAAAATTTTTCTTTGAAATACGACCGACCATTCAAGATAATATGCAAGTTCATCAAATATTTAGATATTACAATAAAAATGTTTAAACCAAATGATAATACATCAATCAACAACAATAGTTTTAGACGTTTCCAACCCCAATCCTTTCGCTTTCTTGACGTTGAAGTTGGTCATGTCATGATTGTCATCTACAATTCAAAGCTAAAGTTAAGGTCGGGTTCATCGGGTTAGTCGGGTTTTTTTGGGCCTGACCCGATTCCAACCCAATAAGGTCGGGTTGGCTAATTTTTTTATCGATCATGCATCGGATTACCTCAGATTGGGTTTTTTTTTTTAAATTCGGGTTGGGTTGATCGGATTCATCGGGTTTTTGAGCACCCCTAGATGGTATCATGCACTATTTTTAACGGAAGTTCGTTAATTCTGCCGACGTTAACAAAAAGTATATAAAATCAACCAAACCCTTTTCTTCAGACGTCTGGGCTTTTCTAGATCTGGGCCTCGCTTATAAATGGGCCTTTTTAATAGGGCTCTCAATCTCAAATTCTCAAGGCTCTTTCAAAACTTCGATCAAATGGATGGATCATGGAGCCTGAACCGAAAATAAAGTATTAATTTAAAACCCGAATGCCCCGAAAACCGACATTTGGGAAAACTTCGGGTTCAGGTTATGTTTGATTTTTAACCACATGATCCGTCCAAAAACCCAATATATATATATATATATATATACACATATATAAATATACTTATTTATTTAATTATTTTTTGAAATTCTAAAAATCTTGATTGGTCATGTTTTCTCTAATTTCTAAGCAAATTATCGATTAATCAAACCTCTAAATCGATTAAATATATATTTTTTGCATTATAACTAAACCCAAACGTGATCAACCACAACCCAAAGCAATCCGGAATCAAAAAATTAGGGTTTGACTTTCATATCCGAAATCCGATCGGGTTTTTGTTTTCCGCACCCGAACCCGTCCCTATTTTTTCAATGGATTCTCAGCTTTAATTTTAAACAAAAAATAAATACAAATAAACACCAAAATGCAAAAAGAAATAAAAATAAACAAATCCATACACTTGTAGGGCCAAAAGAAACTTTAGGGTACAAACATGAACTGACACCTGGCAATTGCAATTGCCACCTCAGCATAATATCTCTCAAAAAAAGTCTTTCATCATCATAATAATAATAATAACTTAAACAAACAAAACCGATAATAGATTTCAAAAACTAACCTTTTTTCATCCCAAAATCTCTTTCTAATTCAGCAGAGCAGATCAGATCAGATCAGATCAGCAACATTTGATGGCAGCTCCTCCACCATCACATTGTAAAACTTCTGAATATCTGCAAGCATCCTTTCATCATCCAATGTCACAAAATTTATAGCCACACCCTTTCTTCCGAACCGACCACTTCGACCGATACGATGCAGGTAGTTCTCAGGCTGTGTTGGAAGGTCGTAGTTGATCACGAGCGACACCTGTTGGACGTCGATACCACGAGCCAAAAGATCGGTAGTGATGAGAACGCGAGACGACCCGGAACGGAATTCACGCATGATGATGTCTCGGGTGTTCTGGTCCATGTCTCCGTGAGTGGCGGAGACGGTGTGGTCACGGCTACGCATGTTGTCGGTTAGCCAATCGACCTTCCTTCGGGTGTTGACAAAGATGACACTTTGGGTTATGGCTAAGGTTTCGTAGAGATCGCAGAGGGTTTCGAGCTTCCATTCTTCCTTTTCGACGTTCACGTAGAACTGTTTGATACCTTCGAGAGTGAGTTCATCGCGCTTGACGAGAATTCTCACGGGTTTGTTCATGAACTTCCTTGTGATCTCAAGGGCTTCTGGAGGCATTGTTGCAGAGAACACTCCAACTTGAACCTTTGACGGCAACAACTGGAAGATATCGTAAATCTGCAATGAAAACGCTTAATATCAGCCGACTTGAAATATAAAAAAGAAAATCTTCAATGTTTTGAGAAATCATATCATCATCATCATCATCATCTTGTAATTCAATAATAAAACCAGCATAAAGCAACTTCTAATCCCAAGTAAAAGAATCTCATATCATCATCAATCTTTTACAAAGGACAAAATAAATCGAAATGCAACAAATTTTGGTTTAGGAGATGCTTGGTAGTTTCTTAATGGTTTGGTGCAGCATGATTAAGTGGTCAAAATGATTAAGAGGTTCTTATCATACAGTGTAAAATGAAATATGATTGTTTGGCAATTGTTTAGAATGAAATTAAGGCGTTGAATGGTTCAGGGAGGCCCAAGATACAAAATCATTCATAGGGTTTTAGAACCATTAAGAAGCATATCTGTTTTTTTGCCAAACAAGATTCACCCCTTAGCAATTCAAATGCTGCCTCTTAATGGAAGTATTAAGAGATAAACAAACATCCCCTAGTTCTTATTTAGTGGCAAAAAATATTTTTTTTTTCTCAATGAAGTTCAAATTTTTTCTTATTTTTATAACCCATTTTGACCAGTAATATGTTAATAGTGTAACATTTAATGGCATGCCCATTTACAAAAAGTTTACAAAAGGGTCACAACAACGTGAACCAAAAACTTAACATTCACATCACCAAAATTTAAAAGATCAGGTCAAAATGGGTATTAAAAAAAACTTTGAAAATTTGTTACATGAAATAGTATAATCATTCAGTCCTAACATGAAACTTTATGTCATCCCAATTAAAAAAATCATATGATCATTCAGTCCCAACATATTTCTTCATGTAATACAATAATGCAGGACTTTATGAAGATCTATCTTAAAATCTACTTGTAGTAGAAAGTCAAAGTAAAATTTAAGGTAAAAGAAATGACCTGATCCTTGAAACCTCTGGAAAGCATTTCATCAGCTTCATCCAACACAAACATCTTGATGTAATCAGCACGAAGTGACTGCCTCCTGAGCATGTCAAAGACACGACCAGGAGTACCAACAACAACATGGACACCAGCCGAGAGAATGCGCTGGTCTTCACGAACGCTGGTTCCACCAACACAAGCATGGACCTTCACACCAAGATAGTCCCCAAGTGCTCGCATAACTTTTTCAATTTGCTGTGCAAGTTCACGGGTAGGTGCCAGAACCAAGGCCTGACACTCGACGACATTGTAGTCGAGTTGTTGAAGGATACCAGAGCAAAAGGTTGCAGTCTTCCCTGTTCCAGATTGAGCTTGTTGGATTACGTCAAGACCCTTGCAGAAAGGGACAATTCCCCTCTGCTGAATTGCTGATGGTTTTTCAAAACCTGCATTCAAAAGAAAATTGTCATATCTGGTAAAGAATGACTCTAAAAATTATTTTAGATTCTAGATGACTCTCTTAGCCCTTGAGTTTGTTTTAGCAATAACTCACAAAGACAGTCGGCTTATATGAAGTAAAACCATATGCAGGATAACAATATCAAACTTACCATATGCATAAATGCCTCTCAAAAGATTTTCTTGCAGACCCATAGCATCAAAACTATCATAAACCTCATCATATGAAGTAAAAAAGTCCTGCCCGTCGGTTGACAGCCTGTAGCAGCAGCAAAAGCAAAATCATCAGCGAGTGCAAAACAAGTACCTTCCTCAAATCCCACTTGAAAGCTAGATCTAATGCTTCTTAAAAAAACCAACATCTGAAGCAGCTACTACATGAAAAAATTGCACAAACTTACAGCTCATTCATTTTTGTATCAAATTGGCGAGTATCAAACTGAGAACCTTCTGGTGTTACGCCTGCCATGACTGCAAAAGAAAATAGCAACAATTAATCTCCACAAACAGGAAAAGGAGGAACCAGCAGATCTATACATGTCAAGGTCTCATACCAACAGAGGGTTTTACACAATAATTTATTTAACTACCACATCTTACTGAATTAAAAGTTAAAGAACCACCTGCAAAAAATTCAAGCACCAAAAAAATGGAAACGAAAAGCACAGCCTACTTACCAACCCTCTTTCTATATAATCTCAAGCAGCACTTAATGCAACTAATATTCTACCCAATCAAACTACAATATACAGCACTTAATGCAACAAAAAAACAATTGACAAACCTCTTAGAATTGAGTAGCAAAATAAAAATCTTCCAAAATCATAGCATATATCCTATTTCAAATTCATGCTACCCCACATCCTTTGAAAAAAAGCAGCAACTTAGTTGAAGCTGTACAGCAAGACTGAGATAATGCAAACATACTACAAACACACGTATATGTATGAATAGCATAAAGATACAATCATCCAGAATATAAAAGATCTTGACTATATTCAACCAAGCTTTGAAAGACCTTAGCAAAACAATACCCCACCCAAAACAAGGAAAAAGAAAAGGAAAAAAATAACTTCCCAAATACCAAACATGAATATCAACTTTAGATCTGAAAAAGCTATAGAACCAGACCCCCAGCCCAGCTATAAACATCTTATCAGCATATTAAAAAGACAAGCTAAAACAGTAGTTAGCAGACAAAATAACAACTTCAAATCTTTCTTTATAATTTCTTTACAAAAGCTTCAACATCAATCAAGTTTGTCACTATTTTCAATGATCAGTTTATTCATTAGTCCCAACAGAGTAGCAGAAGCAACTCAAAACTTGAACCTCACACAAATACCTCTCCTTCATTCCGCCAATTCAACCACTTAATCCATCAAGTAAACAACCAACACGCATGACATCCAACACTCAGATTAAAAACACACAAAACTTCTAGAGTTCATAAATCCATATCGATCTAGACAAACTCGCGATTTAAAGCCAAGTTACGATACAATCCCAAAACAAAACATCCAAATCTCCAAAATCTCAAAAGCAAAACACTTAAACTTACAACTGATTAAAGAAACACAAGTTTATCAAGCATAAAACCTAACCATAAACATCGATCTATACAAACACATGAAACTCAGATCGCTAAAGCATATCAACACACACAAAAACAGATCGAAAAGCAATCAGAAAACGAAAAGGAAGAGTAAAGATAGGGATCACAATACCTGATTTGAAGATTGGTGGAAAGATTGAGAGAGAAAGTGAGAGATTTTTAGGGAGGCTTTTTAGGGTTTTCTCAAACTCCTCGGGTGGCCGTGGAGTTGAGGGGAATGTGAGTGCGAGTGAAAGAAAAAGGCTGTGCTCTGGGATGGGTATTGAAAGCCAAATCTTACCCTATTTTTCCTCTTTATTTTTCTTGACCATTTTACCCCTTGCCTTTTTTTTGCCTTTTTTTTAAAAATATTTATATTATTTATATATTTATCAAATATATTTATTTTCTATAGACGTGGACACTACGCATGGGCAACTTATTCCTTTTCTTTTAATGGCAAAGAAAACAAAAATCCTTCAAAAAAATTTATTGATATTATTTATGTGTATTTATACAGGGGTGTTTATGGGTTGGTTGATCGGGTTGAAGACATTTGAATAATTCAACTCAATATTTGCGGTTTGAAAAATCTTAAGTCAACCCAACCCGAACCAAAGTGCAAACAACCCAACCCGTACGGGTTAGTTGGGTTGATACTTTGGTACATTAAAATATTTTTCTAACCTATAATATGTTATTTCTCTACTCATACTTTATTTTTCATCACCAATCGTTTGATACAACCTATCCATACTTCTTACGTATATCACATTCAGTTAATTTTCTCAATTACATATATATGTTCACAATTATTGAACATGATAGTGTAATAGTCTAATGTACATATTTATATAAATTCAACAATAATATTAAATCCAAAAAATAAAAAGATATCGGGTTCATCGGGATGGGTTGGTTCAAATAATAGTAACCGAATATCAACCCAATATTTACAGTTTGACAATTTTACAACTCGATTAGACATCGGGTTGCTTTGGGTTGAGTTATTTCGTGTTGTGTTGGGTTGGTCGGGGTTTTGAGCACCCCTATACGTATATATAGGGTTAGGTTCGGATGAAAATCGTAAAAAAATGAAAATTTGAGAAATATTCTGGTAACTGTTTATTTGTATGATATGTACATGTGCATACAAATAATTTTTTCGATATGTATACGTGCATAGAAACTTGAAAGATTACTTGCAAATTTCTTATATGCACATGTGCATACCATACATATGAACTGTTACTAAAATGTTCCAAGAATGGACCCAGATGGTTTATGTGAGTGCTTCATTCGAACTGATTCACATATTAACTAATTAATTGATTCACACATGAATTATATGTTCATTTGCTGTGTATTTGTAAAAGTTACAAAATTATCTCTTCATCTTCTACATACTCATGCAACGAATTGTCTGGTGCTTTCACGGACAAAGCCGCAAATGTTGACCAGATGAAAGGGGTTATGATCATTTATTTACTTCTCAAATATTTACCACTTCTCAAATGAACCATATATATATATATATAACTATTTAAGGGAGAACTGAGTTGTTTGTGATAACTGTGAGAATCAATATTAACCACAAATCAATAGATAAATTAGGAAATTTATAAATTTGGTAAATTTAAATTAAAATCTTAATGCAATGATATTTTTGGTATTTTAAAACTCTTCTCTCTCCTCTCTTCTCTCTCCGGCCACTGTCCTCCGGCCACCGTCCGCCGGCCACCGTTCTCCGGCCACCGTCCGCCGGCCACCGTTCTCCGGTGATACCACTGTGATACCTAAAAATATTGACTCTGTTAAACAAAAGATACATTGTGATATCTAATCATATATAAGATGCATAGTGATACCACTGTGTTACATATTCGATCGACCACACAAACGACATCAATGTGATACCCAAGCACATATATGATGCATTGTGATACCATTGTAGTATCACCGGWGGAYGGTGGCCGGAGAGAGAAGAGAGGAGGGAGGAAAGTTTTAAAATACCAAAAATATCCTTGCATTAATATTTTAATTCAAAATTGCCAAAATTATAAATTCCCTAATTTATCTATTGATTTGTGGTTAATATTGATTCTTACAGTTACCACAAACTAATTAGTTCTCATTTGATTAGACCCCTATATATATATAATTATATAATGTTTAAAACAATACCAAAAACAAATTAAATGAAAATTATAACAAATAAAAACAAGTGATGTAGTGTTTTCCAGACAATCTCTCCAATTGGTCTTTCAATAAAGCTGTCTGACTAATGACTAATACCAAATTGGTCCCAGCAATGCATTCCCCTTTGCCCATCACTAGGTTTTATAGGTGGAGCCCTATCCTCTTTCACTTTTTCAATGTCTTCACTCTCTTTTCTATAAAATCATAATTCACACCAAAATTTATATTTTTATTAGTAAATTTCGGTTGTTATTATAGGTCCAGATGAAGAGCCTTATGGTGTTGATCAAACTCTTTCACAACTAGATCCGGCTTTCGTTGCTCAAATTTTATCTTAGGGGCCGTTTATCCAGGTAAGCGCTTACCAAGTAACGTTACCTCACCGGATGAATATGGTAAATACCGAGAATCTTACCCAGTAAGAACGAGACAAGGACCAAGAGTCTTAACCGGGTAAATACTTATGGTTCATACACCTTCTTACATTTATTAATGGTGTAAGAAACATTATTGTACATTAGTTGATTTGTAACATAAAGAATAAAGGTTTGTTGGTAGCTTAGTCGACTTATGATTGTTTTGGTAATAGCTTAATTATATAAAAAGTGGCTTATTCATTAAGCTTTTAGAAGAGAGTTCTATACAAAAATGCAAGTTTTTTTTTTCCAAACCTGCCCCTCCCAACTAAAAAACATGTTCCGTCCATCTATAAAAAAACCCCTCACAAATAAAAACATTCTCAATTTATACGAACAAATTAATTCATACAGACAACTTTATCCATACAGGATTTAATAGAAAACCAGCCCATCAACCTCTCGAGTCTTTTTATAAGTACAATAGACATGTGATAAAGTTGGATAGATATAAACCAAACAAACTCAGTATATCTCACGTTGAGGTTGATCTACTGACTACTGACCTTACCTTTGTGTCTTGAACTGTTTTCGAAAAAACTCCCAACTAAAAAACATGTTAAATCAAAATCAACCCAACATTTTAGCTTCGAGTGAGAGATAGATGATGAACTTCTTATACCGGCCGGGACCGATTTCATTCAAAACAACTTCATTTATAGGCTTGACATCGAAACGAGCATAAATGGCTTCCGAATTGAGAGATAACATCGACCACCCCACCGTAACCAGCAACCGAAATAACCTGAAAAATGAAAAGAAAAGTGTAATAATTACAAGAAATTCATTGGCTCATCGCTCTCTCTATTATCAAGGGTAAAATATTTATTTAGTTAATTAAAGAGTGTAATAATTACAAACTTCTAAACTAGTGTCTTTTTCATTGTGGACGTTTATTTTGGGACGGAAGGAGTTGCAGTATTTACGGTTAAAAGGAAAAGAAGGGATAAACAAGAAACTTACACCCGATGGATGCAAGGAAACGGAAAATGCCGACCGTGGTACACATTGTATCTGAGAAAGCATGGCACCATTGATGTCATACCGACTCAGCACCGATTCAGCTCCCACAGCTAATATCTGGAAAGAATTGAAGCAACTGAATTAGAAGAATGTAACGAACACAATTAATGTTCACGATGGTGACGATATAATAGAACATGTAATGAACGAAAACAGGAATCTACATCGGTTTTTCTTTTTCTTTTTCCGAGAAGGAGTGCGGTTAGCATGTCTTCCTTAGTTGTAGGAAAGATAAAGTTGATTGTTGTTCATATATGTGCCAAAAGATCAAGAAATATACAGCTGGTCAGAGCCAAATTGATCTACCTTAGAAATTCTCTTGGCTTCATTGAGTACGATAGTCTAGGCACATTACAAATGCACAAAAAAGCCAAAGCCCGACCCCAAAAAGTGCGGGCCTAGTGAGCCCAAAGCCCGGTCTGGGCCAGGCTTCAAAGCCCGACCAGGCCGAAATTTTGGCCAAAAAAGCCCATTTGAAAGTCCGGTCCGGGCCTGAAAAAGCCCTGACCTTGTGCATCTCTAAGGCAAATATGTATAGATAAGCTAGTAATTGGCTGATAAACCAGTCACATGTGATAAAATCTAGTTAATAAGGTAAACGACAATGTACAATGACTAGAAAAAACATTCTGAAAAATTAATTGGAAAATTAGAAGGGGGAGAGATGGAAAAGAAGTGCAAAAAACCCCTAGAGCTTATTGAAACGTTGCTTGAAGTAGTTTTTCAAAAGCTAGCTTATGATTTATCAAAAGGGGCTTTTTCAATAAGCTCAAAAAAATGCTTAATATGGTTGCTATACATGGTCGTAAATGGTGTTTTTTGAGAAAATGAATTCTTAAATTAACAAAATCTATCACCAATCAGATAAAAAAAGCTTACACACTAATAACAAAAGAAGTTTGAAGTGTTTTTCCAGAATTTGAGAAACTTGACCGAAACAGGAGAGTTGGAAGAAGATTATTACATATCACTTGCAACTTAAATCACCTGGTTTTCCATTAAGTTATGTATGAATAAAGTTATCTGTGTCTATTATAGATTGGTAAGGTTTTTGTTTGGGAGGGATTTTTCATAGATGGAAGAAGTGTGTTTTTAATTGGGAGAGACAGGTTTGGAGAAACTTAGCTTTCTGCATAAAGCTCCTCCTAGAAGCTTACCGTATAAGCCACTTGCTATATCATTAAGCCACACTACCAAACAGTCTATCTATAGCTGACCGAATAAACTGTGAGTTCTATTAAGCTCATTAAGCCACTAATGAACAGGACCTTACTTGATTATCATCAAAGCATATATCTTGGATGCAAGCACGAGTTGAGATCCCTGAAATTTTTTCAGCAGCAGAAAGATTCCACACAGACAAATTTCGCCCACTGCCACAACCCTATAAGAATATGTTCAATATCATATCACATTAAGCCCCCGTTTATATACAGAGAAAACTACAATATAAATACATATAAGATCATGATTTCGCATCAAATTGGAACATATTTGCTTAGCCACAACCTAGTTTCACCTGCACAAACAATTGCTGCCTATGTCAACATATATAGAGGGAGGTCCATTTAGGAACCTTAAATATTTTGAGAACCAGCAAACCACTCATTTTATGTAGTATTCATGAACCTTGAATATCATGAATATTTGTCACGACATTCATCATGAATATTTATCGCGTTATTCATTATGAATACTACACAAAATAGGTGGTTCCTGAGTTCTTAAAATATTTAAGGTTCCTAAATGAACTTGCTCATGTATACATATGTGTATATATATAGGAATTGGTTCAAGTAAAAAGGCTAAATACCGTGAGAAGGTAATAAGGGAAGGTTTATATGTGAAGCACAGAAAAATCCAAAAAAAATCCATCTAAAGATGCATATGTGAACCAACGTTACAGATTATTCATATGGGGTCACATAAGGATCTTCAAATGGATTTTTTAAATGATTCACATATGAACCTTTCCTCAACCTCTCCTTCTTACCTTCTCACGATATTTAGACTTCTTATTTGAACCTCTCACTATAATATGTATATATATATAGGTAACCATGGGTGTCCTGGCAAGCTTACACAGACCACAACTAATCCCATGGGACCCTAAAGATAAGAACCAGGAAATCCTCAGTGGCCCTGAGGAGACTCGGACCAGCGACCCACGGAGATGACTGATGAGCCCCAAGGACCAGCCTTTGTTTGCCGGTTGAGCTGGCCATCAAGGTTAAAGATATCTATATAGTTAGACCAGTCATTTAAAGAGTTTCTTCACTGCAAGAGCCCTTACCAACCACTTTTCACTAGCATCAAGAGAAATGCAACTGATATACGAAAAGAACTCCTTAGATTTCTTGTCTTTCCCAGGTTCAATAACTTGAGTGCACTTTCCAGTTCTACAATCTGCACAAAACCACCCCACGGAAGATGGAAAAGATTAAGGACATGTAGAATGCGTTTAATACATGGGTCGGTACAGGACAAAACAAAAACTTGTCCCGTGTTTGGTGTGACAGTTAGATTGGGACTGGACACAACTGAGCGGGACAAAGTGCATTTTTTCTGAAACAAAAATCAGGGAGATGGGACAAGTATAGTAAATTACTAAACTATCCATGTCAAACTAAAACCCAAAACCTTTCAAGATCCTTTCACTCGCCGACCAAACTCTTGCCCGTCCAGCCTCGTATGCGTACCAAAAGCACCATAGTGATGAAAACTAATCATAAGACCATGCAATAAGCCAAAGGGACAAAAAGCAAACAACGACCGTCCTTCACTGAAGCATTGCACTTACCCCATATTCTGGCCGTTCCGTCCTCCGAGCCAGTTATAATCTGCAAATAGAGCAGTGTAAAACTAGATTAAATATATAGTTATGGAGATGAAATTTATTATATTCAAGGAAACAAAAGAGTTCGCATATTCCTATCAATGGAGTGGTTGGGGACGCTTCCATCAAAGGCTCGGTTTCCAATCAATCATTGTATAGTCCCACATGGTATTTGTGACTATCAATGAATTAACAAAAGAGTTCGCATATTATATCACCATGTTTTAACAAATAAGTGGATGAGGACACTTCCATCAAAGGCTCAGCTTTCAATCAATCATTGTATAGTCCCACATGGTTGTGACTATCAATGAACAAATACATATTACCCTACCGTCTCGAGCATAATTAAGTAGGAATAAATACAAGGAAAGGATCACATAATACCTGATTACAAGAATTTCGGGCGACAACAGAATGTAGATAACCAGCATGCCCTTTGAAAGTCAGTTTGATTTGAGATTTTTCCTGAAATCACGTTGAAGAAAATGGAGCTCTCTTTAACCAGAGGAAAGAGTAAAAGAGAAACAATAGAATTTCTCGTTGGTTGATCATCTGATCACCTTCAGGAGGTACATACCACATCCCAACAATAGGCACAGGAATCACCAGCAGCTGCATATATCGAACCCCCCTGTGGTTGATGAAAACCAAACCGAAATAAACTCATATGTTATCTAGTTTAAAACATATTCGACGAGTTAATAACATTGATGATAGCAGAAGACTTGAACCAAGAGAAAATCATACGAAGACTGATGGCCAAAGTAGCAAGGTAAAAGTAGTCGAGGCAGATTTCTGAGTAAAATCTACTGAACGAGATGACATTAGATGGGAGCAAGTAGAAGTATGTTCGTATACTTATAAACCTTTTGATAACTTTTACTAGGTTTCTTTTTAGCTTACGAGGGGATTACGATCCAGCTAGTCAGACCAGATCTTCCAACTCGATGGTCTAGAAGAATTTCCAATAATTCATATTTTTTTAAAGAAAGATAATAGGGCATTAATGTAAAATAAATCCTATGAGGTAACTGAGATAAGTAAAACCTTACAGACCTGAGTATCAACGGCAATAGCATTAGTTTCAGGTATAGGGGAAAGAGCACCCCAAGGACCTCTGAGGGATAACAGAAAGCAGAGTTAGAACTGATGAGTGGAATTTGAATGCAAAGAAACACTCATGAGCAAAATACAAAAAATCCCAAACTGTTCAGGCTTCTAACAGAAAGAAATATTTTGAAAGCATGAGTCATGATTCATATAGAGCATTACATTGCCATAGTTCAAATATTCCTTTTCAAATTCTTCATTTTTTAAATTTTCTTAATAATCCCAAAGAGGCTTACCAACAAGGTAAAAAAAAGTTCCCCATAAAACTTCTAAACAACCATGGCCACAACTAAACTCCAAACCTATCAAATCTATATTAAATGATCAATTGGAAGCATGTGCATGAGACAGGAGAGACCCGCTGGAGACAAAGCAATTCATTAAAGAATAAATGCAGATAATCCACAGAAACCATACATCTTAAAGAGGCAGTCAAAAGAAAGTATCTCATGTTAGGATATTAAAACAAATGCAGGCACAAATTATCGTATTTTTACGTTTAGGTGACTAACTTATGTTGAGGATTTGCCAAGTCAAGCTGCGGCTTCGACAGGCCACCTGCAAAAATTAAGTGTGGTTGATTGAGTGAGTAGAAAGTAAATAAAAATTCATGAGAAGATGAATTTTAACTTAATATTCCAAAGTGAACTAATAATGGAAAATAAACAGGATTCTATGGCAGGTTAAGATGGCGGGGAAGTAGACCACAAAGTCCGATTTGTGCTACTCAAGCCACCTCCCAACGGTCATAAAAACCATGTTTTCTCTGAACAATTTCATGGAGAGAATGAAGAAACTAAGAAGTGAACTAGGAAATCTTTTGAGGTGGCTTAGAAACAGATAAGGGCCTGTTTGTCAGCAGCTTAACGAGCTTAACGGGACTCACAGCTTATTCAGTCAGCTATACATGACTCACAGCTTATTCAGTAAGCTATAAATGACTGTTTGGTAGTGGCTTAATGATATAGAAAGTGGCTTATTCAGTAAGTTTCTAGGGGAGAGCTTTATGCAGAAAGCCAAGTTTTTCCCATACCCTGTCCTTCCCAATCAAAAAACATGCTCATTCCATCTAAGGAAAAACTCTCCCAAACAAAGACCTTCCCAATCTACACAGAGACAGCTTTATCCATACAAGACTTGATGGAAAACCAACCAAACAGTTCCTGAGTCTGGTATGCGTGCAATTTTCTAGTGCATATCCCCTCCTGGAAGGAGAAGAAAGGAATACTTTTTTCCCAAACAGGAAATAGATTTCACTCTCCAAATTCATTTTCCCAGCAAGAGGATAGCGTTCTACCTCATAAGTCTTATTAACAAAAGTTTAAGAGTATAAGTAGATGTTTAAGTTTCAAGCTGAACGGGCTATACCATACATTAACGATGAATCTATTACCTTGCGACAAACTATCCTGCTCTGCTTCCAAAACATCCATCCACTTCCATCCTCGAATTCGACCATCATCGCCACAACTAAATAACAAACTTAAGTTAAGAAATATTTTGAATCTTCCATAAACTAACACTTGGAAGACAGAATTAGAGTGCCAATCAACATAAATAGTTTAAAAAAGAGCATTAGTAGATTATTATACTGAAAATCTACTGGTTCTGGGAATACTGGTATACTCCAACTTATATTTTCCAAACAAGGGAACAAGACTTGTGTCTTGATGATGAACTTCCATTAGTGTTATAATTTGTGTTATCAGCTCATTAGGAGAAACTGAGGAATACGATTGCAAGGGAAAGATTAAACTGGGACAGCTCCCTCTCTAAGTTTGCCCGGGCCTTTGCAAACTGTAAACTTATAGAATCGTCAATCCACAAATAGGGTCCACTATCGAAATCAGGAAGATTAATGGTACATATAATATGTACAGTTTTATAGTAAAATGGGTCTGTTTTCTTTAACACAATACTCGACTGATTGTTCAACAAGAGAGCATTATGAAAGATATATCATATACATGTCTAAACAAACAAACAAACACAAATCTCAACAAAAGTAGTCATATAATTAGCAAGCATTATTAGATATTTACCTCAACAACAAAGAATCTTCACCTTCACCATAGAACTTAACATCATAAGCAGGTCCATCATGCCCGTGAAGTAAACAAATCGGTTCCGCTGCAAATAAACTAAAAGGAAAAAGTGAGCAAATGCACATGATACATCTTCATTGAATACATTTTCAAATTTTCTAAAAACCTCTGTGTAACCATTCAATTCATAAAACAGCAATCAAACAATCAAAAACTACTTACTTTTGAGCCCTATAATTTCCGAAACCCAATGGCTGCAAAACCAAAAAAAAAAAATTCAATTACAGAAAAGCACCAAAATCCACTCATAAACCAACATAGACATACACACGTATGAATGAACAAATTAGCACCCCCTTTGTTCCATATAATTATACGAGAGAATCAATCCAACTTTTGACGTCAAACACTGTAAATTCCCAGTGCAAAACTTAGGATTATCGTATTCGATCACTACAACTCGAAAATTATAATATCTACAATTAATTTGAAGTTGAAAGTACAAACATCAAAGAAGAAAGGGGAATACTAGCTGATGTAACATACGAGGGATGAGATTAGAGAGGACAAGGAATAAGATGCAATGGAACCGTCGCTAGAAGCAGCGACGATGAACTTAGGGTTTTGATTGATCGGAGACGGTGAGAAGACCGTTCGGAAGATAGTAAGAGAATGCGATTCCCTCTCCTCCAATATGCTGTCTCTGTATGAGTCTTCGTCCCACTGCCTACAGTCTCCATCCACCGACTCCATTTTCATTTCTTTAATCTCCCGTGCACAATATTCAGTGGTACATCCGCCGTGAATATGTTCGGCACCGATAAGGCGTTGGCTTATAGTTGAGCTGTTAGCTCGAAAGGGCTATTTTCTATATTACAAATGAAAAATCCTTAAAAATCATTTTTTATATACCAAGCGGTGTTTGAGATTGTTTATTAAAATAACTTATGTTTTTTTATAAGAGTGTTACCTTTTAATAGTTTTATTAAGAGAAAATTTTTGAATAGTTAAGAGGCTAATCTTGTTTGGTACAAAAAAAATCTGCCTCTTAATGGTTTTAAAACTCTCTGAATGATTTTGTATCATGGATCTCCCTTAACCATTAAGAGCCCTAATTTTATTGTACATACTTACCAAATAATTTTATTTCATTTTACACTTATATCATGAGAGCCTCTTAATCATTCTGATCACTTAATCATTCTGCATCAAATCATTCAGCAATTGCCAAACAATCCCTTATGTGGTATTAAACCGGAGTTTTGTAAAAAATGTTTGGATTAACTTATAGCGGTACCAAAAAGCAATAAGTTAATAAGTTGTTTTTTAGTGTTTGACAAATTTTGCTTATAGATGTAAAATTACCAAAAAGGGGTCGGAGCTATTATGTTGAATAAAACTTGGTCCCAAACTGGATTCCTCCAATCTACCTCTTATCGGAAAAGAATGACATCGTCGACGGTCCAGTGTTCATCTCTTCAATGTCTTCCCACTTTCAAAAACAAAGAACCACCGGCACCACCCCATGCTCTACCAGCCCTCCATCCTCATCACTCTTAGATTTCTTTGCCTCCAACCCTATTTTCTCTGGATTCCTCTCTTCAGATATCGACTCCACACCATTTTCCTCCGAAGCTCTCTCTTCCGGCACCGTCACTGCTCGTGCCGAAAATATCCAAGACGACATCCGTAAACAACTTCATTCAGAGGTCCTGTCTCGTCATAATGACCTTCTCTCCCAGCTTTCTTCCATCTCCTGGTTCGATTTCACAGGTTTCTTTTCTCTGGTTCGATTTCACAGGTTTCACAAATTCGATTTCTCCGGTTTTATTACATATATTCGATTTCACAGGTTCGATTTCACAGGTTCGATTTCACAGATTTCACAAGTTCGATTTCTCTGGTTCGATTTCACAGATTTCATAGGGGGCTCTGATTTTCTAGGTCAGTCGCTTGACTGAGGAAGGAGAGTTTGGTTGGTATCAAAAACTGATTAATAAAAAGGTAAAGGGTATTAGAAAAGGGTTAAAATGGTAAATTGTTATTTATCAAAAACTGCTTATGACCGGTTTGGCACCGGTATAAACAGTTTTTTTTTTCACATCCAAACACTAAAAAATGCTTATCACCGGTACCACACCTGAATAAGTCAATAAGCACTTTAAATAAGCAATCCCAAACACCCCCGAATTATTGTTTATTGATGTATATTACTTAAATTTTAAGATTACAAGTAAATTATATACAAACGTAACTTAGTAAAATTTCATATTTGAATTCATATAACTAACTCCAGATAAACATGATTAAATAGAGGATAAACATCTCATTTTAAATATAAAAATTTAAAATATAATTAGAATAATTATTGATTCTAACAAAATATTTAATCATTATTTTTGTAAAAAAAATTATTTTTAATCAAAAAATAAAAAAGATGACTTAAAGAAATACACAAAAAGAAGATATTTTAAATAGTTAGTTTGATATTAATATCAATATTTTTTCCAATTTTATATGATATTTTCGTATTTATATCTTTTTCAAAAACAAAAACATTATCGTTTTTTTCAAAATCACATAAAACGTGTTATAACATCAATTAAGACAAAAATAAAATAAAACAAACCACTAAAATCAAAATATATCTCGCTGCATTGTGCGGATACCCTTCTACTGAATATACAGGACACGGTTTGAGAATTGTTTAAGAAACTTATATGCCGTGTTTTTTTAGTTGTTTATATCCATGTCAATTTACGTGTATATCAGTTAATTCCATAAATTTTGTATAACAGTTAGGAAAATCTCTGTGGACTAAAATCGTTAAAGTTTAACGAAAAACCCAAAAGATTCAAACCTTGTGGATTGTTTGGCGAAGGTTTAGCTAGTAAATGCTTACCGGGTGTTATTTAAGCAACGATCGAGAATTTTACCTATTAAGAGACATATGGGGTGTTTGGGATTGCTTATTTGAAACAACTTATGTTTTTCTACAAAAGCACTTGTCAACTTATTATAAGTCATAAGAGTTTAATTTCTTCAAAAACTTCTTATTACCGGTTTGGCACCGGTATAAGTTGTTTATCCAAACACTCAGAAGTACTTATTACCGGTTCCACACCGAAATAAGTCAATAAGTTGTTTTTATAAGCAATCTCAAACACCCATATATAAAGGATTTGGAATCTTATCATGTAAGTGAAATGAATATTTTTATCCGGTAAATATTTACCAGATAAAAAGAGATTTACCAACAATTCATATTGATAACCGAGAATGTTATTCGATAAGGCAAGTGAGGATGGTGACTCTTGTCAGTAAATGTTTGGTAAATGACCCCTTATTGAAACGTTTAAAATATCACTCCTTCCATCCCAAATTGTTTGTCCACATTTCTATTTTAGTTTTATCTCAAAATAAATGTCCATTTTCTCATTATGCCCCTAATTATGAGATGAAAAATAAATTTTGATAATATAATTATGAGACGGAAAATAAATTTCTCTCTATTATCAAAAGCAAAAGGGTCATTTAGTCATTTAAAAGTGTAATAATTACACATTTTTAAAAATTTGTGTCACAATTATTGTGGGCATTTTATTTGGGACGAATGAAGTAATTTATAAGCTATTTTGTGGCTACTTAAACGAGGAACTGTTTGGCAATTGTTAAATGGTTTAGTACAGAATGATTAAGTTATCAGAATGATTAAGAGACTCTTATGATGTAATGCAAAATGAAATATAATTGTTTAGTAATTGTTCAAAATGAAATTAAGGCGTCGAATGGTTAAGAGAGACCCAAGATACAAAATTATTCAAAGAGTTTTACAACCATTAAGAGACAGATTTTTTTTTGCCAAACAAAATTCACATCTTAGCGATCAAAGCCTCTTAATGGAACTATTAAGAGGTAAACAAACAGCACATGAGATAAAATAATTATATAAAATATCTTAAATATAATTATTATTTAAAATTTAATGATTTTTGACCCTAAACAAAATAATTTATCATTGTTTTATAAAAAACTATAATTAAATTAAAATAAATTATATTTTCATTTTAAATCCAAATTATAATAAAACTTAAATTAAATAAATTAAATCAGAAAATTAGAATTTTATAATTTTTAGCGTGAAAACCATATTGATATATATTTTAAGATAAAATAATAACCAACTGATTTATATTCCTCTCAAAACTAAAAAAAAAAATTGAGAAAAACAAATAATAAAAAACAAAATATGAATCATGATTAAGAGTTAAAGTTTTAGATTTCAAAACTCCGTTGCATTTGCACGGATGCACTTCTAGTAATTTTTTTTTGATTAACCTGGATATCCAACCCACTATGCGAGCCGACTAATCTCAGAACGACCACCTGCTTTGCAGATAGCTTGGAGTCACCACATTTGAACCTCCGTGATCACAAGAGGATTTTTATTCCTTATTGGATTTGAACATGTAACCTCATGGTACTTTCGACCTTTGGAACCAAGCTCAAACCAATCAGTCACCACCCTTGTGGTTTTTAAAACTTTACATTTGAACAGTTAGGTTTTTTATTTATTTATTTATCAAAAGCTAGCATGGAAAATATTGGAGCTCGATCCCTACATTGAAAAAGTTATCCGAGTCCGAATCAATCTCAAGCCTAATATTAACTTTTCGAGCCAAGCTCAAATAACGTGTTACTCATGTCGGCTCGTTTATACCCTTAGTCTTGATACTGCCCATTTACATGTATATACAAAAAACATGAATAATACAGGAACATAATGTTTTATAGAAAGGTGTCGTCTTATAAGGGTGTGTCTAGTGTCTAGACCGAATAAGACAAGGTAGGACAAGATAGAATAGGATAAAACAAAACAAATATTCAACGTTTGATAAGACAGATTTGGACAAAACAGAACAAGTAAAATGACCAATTTTTCCCTAATGAGTTGTATATATATTTTAATTCATTTATGTAATTTATTAAATTATAATAAAATATTTATTTTTTTATAACAAAGTACACATTAGAAATTTTTCGTCAAACAATTAAAATGACACCAAAATAAAATTTTAGTAGTTTCTAATTTTTATATTATCACTAATCTACATTATTTATTATTGTTAATGTATAATAAATTACATAAATTAATAAAAATATAAAAAGCGGTCAAAAATAATATTTTGAAAACAGTAAAAATAAAAGTTTAAAAAATTAAATAAAATGTAATTTGATGTTTTATAAGATAATTAAGTTTTGTTTTAAGATTACATTGGTAAAATATAAATCTGTTTCACCTTATTCCACTTCATTCCATAGGATAAGGATGAAACATACTTGTTCCACTTTGTTCTACTCTGTTTCTGTCTATTTCAAATAAAATATAAATCTGTTTCACCTTATTCCACTTAATTCCATGAGATAAGGATGAAACAGACTTGTTCCACTTTGTTCTGCTCTGTTTCCGTCCGTTTCATATAAAAGTCCTGTCAAATGTAAAACAAAGATACTTGTTTTGTTCTGTTCAATATGCCAAACACACCCTAAACGATTAGGACTTTGCAAAATGGGCATTTTTAACAAACCAACTGTTGTGTGTGTGCATGTGTGTGAGAGAGGGAGATTAAAATGACGATAGATTTTATATAAAACCACCAACTTCATGGTAAATATATATATATATATATATATATATAGAGAGAGAGAGAGAGAGAGGCTAACTAATCATAAACATTTTCACCAATGTTTATTATTAGAATCACCATAAGATCCCATTTGTGCTTGCTAAGCTACGCCACCATCACCACTTCACCACGACAACCTGCAAAAAGTTCAAACAACCACCCAATAAAAAAAACACTCATTTTTGTTTCACCAATCAAAATAAGACACATCATTACTTTATTTAATATACATTTATTAATTGGTGGAGTACAAAAGAGACATGGGATTTGGAAGAGGTGATTTCTATTATAAATGAACTTCGAACAAGTGTTTTTGTTTTTTTAAATCCATGACCTTCTAACAGGTTTTTTGGGCATACTTCAGTTACGTAGTGACATTCTCAAACCTGGCAGAAGGTCATGGACTTTTTTTTAAAAACTGATAGAAGGTCATTTAACCGGAAAATTTACGTTAATTGTCAGAGCTGATAGGTGGTTTCACTTTTTAGCCGTTTACTAATGGGCAAATTGCATGAAAAAGTAACGTACTTTAACTTGACTTCTATTTTAGGTAACATACTCTCAAAACTTCTATTTTGGTATCTAAGATGTAAAGTTTCAAACATTTAAGTATCCGGATAACTGGTTGAAGCATTAACAGGTTACCATGCTAATGTGGCGAATGATATGATATCCAACTCAGTATTATTTGTTGAAGCATTAACCGGATAACACATTACTCGCCACATCAACATGGTAGCCGGGTTACCTAGGTGCTTAAATGTTTAAAACTTTACATCTTGGGTACCAAAATGGAAGTTTTAAAAGTATGTTACTTTTTCATGCAATTTGCCCTTTACCAACCCAAATTCACCTTTTTAGTCGATCCTTACGAATACGCATAAGGAGTGGTTTTCGGCAAAATTTAAAAAAATCCTTACCCATGTGCAAGGATTCCACTTTCTGCGTAAGTATTCTTATTTTTCTTTTTGGCAGAAAACCAATCTTTAAGCATATAACCTTCTGCGTAAGGATTGGCTAAAAAGTGGATTTGGGTCAGAGAATGTCGAAAAAGTGAAACCCCTAATTGCCGATCGGTTATTTCTGTCAATTTCCCCATTTAACCAAATGATCCGTTTTATTCGGTGGATTGGGTGGGGGTGGAAAAGATGAAATGTTACATTTGTCGTAAATCTCTTTAGCCAACTGTAGAAAAGCGTCGGCCTCTTCCGCCATCTTCGCCACCCGTTCTGCCTCTTTGACGGCTTCTGCTGCTACAAACGACTTGTTTTCCGCTTCTGCAACTTTATACGCGGCAGCAACTGCTGCTTCTTCTAACGTTCCGCCAAGATAACTGTTGACCTGAGATAGTCTAGGCCGGATCTCTTTTGGTTTCGGGATCGGTCCCTTGGTTCCATACAATACCTCCCTTCGTAGTCGATAGCAGTTCTGGACCTGATCACTCACATAAGCTGTTGTCAGAAACTGAAACCTAAAGCAGCTCCTACAGCTATGCTATAATTTTTCTAAAAAAAAATATTAAAAGTTAAAATCTCTAAAAATATTATATCCACCTCCACCAGCTACTCTATTTTAGCAATTCTATCATCAACTATATTATTAAAATATTCAAGACATTTAATAAAATATTATCTATTTTAATAATTCTATCATCAACTATATTATTAAATTATTAAAGGCATTTAATAAAATATTATCCCTCTTCTAAACACTTAATTTCAATATTTCCTACTGGTGTGAAAGAATTAAATATTATTTCTCTCTTAAATATGGAGTTTTAGAAATTTCTCCAAATTTGGAGATTTCTACTCTCTCTTCATTTCTATATTTTAGCATGCGTTATAGCATAGCTGTTGGAGCAAAAATATACCTTAAATCTCCAAAATCTCTATTTCAGCATAGCTGTTGGAGCAAAAGTATACCTTAAATCTCCAAAATCTCTATTTCAGCATAGCTGTTAGAGCAAAAATATACCCTAAATCTCCAAAATCTCTATTTCAGCATAGCTGTTGGAGCAAAAAAATCTCCAAAATCTTTATTTCAATATAGTTGTTGGAGATGCTCTAAGATATAATATATCCATGTCCAAAAGCATACTTGAGGGAGCCAAACCAAATGAAACATGCCAAACCAAATGAAAATACCCTTTACATCATGCTCGGAGATACATAGACCTAGGGTGTAAATAAGTCGAGCTTTTAACGAGCTACTCGAACTCGAGCTCATTTAATTTTGAGCTTAATTCTCGAGCTCGAGTCATCTCGAACACAAAATAAAACCCATTTAACTTAAAGAATCGAGCTTCATATATCCAATGTTCTACTCGGCTCATTTGAAAGCTTGCTTAAATTTTTCGAGCCATTCGGGCATATACTTTTTTGAGCCTAACATGCTCATATGTTTATAAATAATACAATATAAATATAAAAAATATCACCCTCGAGCCAATAAACGAGTTAATCGATCGCGAATACAAGCTCATAAAGAGCATCGAGCTCAATAATGCAAAAAATATTCGAGCTCGAGCCTAGTAACTTTTTTGAGTCGAGCTCGAATAACCTACTAATCGACTGGGCTTGATTTGTTTACGCCCCTACACAGAACTATCATCTATCCGAAAGAGTAAGGTGGTTGTTTCCTTGAAGTCCCCGAATTGTGTAAGGTGTAACACAATTAAAACCCTCGGGAGGACAAGCCTGAGTAGGACAAGATTGGTAATAACTAAACTACCCATGTCAAATCAAAACCCTAAAACCTCACAATTCTTTCACCTGCCAACTCACTCTCGCTCGTCTAGTCATAATGCCTCATCCTGTTCAGTACTGTTCGGTCCCGACTGCATACCAAATGCACCCTTAATGACCCAACTCATCATCTGTGCTACAAACTGCTACATCCATGATTCATGATAGGTAACATATGCCTTGAATCTGTAACTTCTAAACCAAAAAGGGCACCCTAAATCATTTTCAAAAGGGATAAAGAAAATATGTCAATTAGGTTTATGAGCCCAGAAGCTTTGTTGGTAGAGCCTAGATGACACTGGTTTACAATAAGAAAAGACAGATTACAAGGCACACTAGGAACAACCGAACATGGAGTCACGGACATTAACAATTTAACCAAGTCAAAGAAATCCATGAGCGAAAGACAGGCAAGAAGTATGGACACAAATAGTCAAATGTCTTGCAAGTAAATGAGAGTTTGATACAAACATGAAACAAATTCACCTTTTCAAGTTTCTCTTGTGCAACAAGCCTTCTTAATCTTGAACCTAGTAACCTCCTAAAATTTTGAGGCACCTCGTGCCTTTTCTGCATAACACAAAGATCACAATATTATCAGTTACGAATACAATAATCTGGATTTCTAACATTTGAAAGAGATGGTCAGCAGCACAAATAAATTAAGACGACCATCCATAATGCAGCTTTCTGTTTAAATTTCCATCAATTCACCTTAAAACATTTTGTTAATCTTGAAATAATCTTCCATGTGTATGACAAAGGAGTAAGCTTTAAAGTTCAATTCAAGATTACTCCAAATTATATACTACTAATATAGGTAGACAAATGGCAATGAAAAAGAGTATAAACCTTGCATAATCCATCAAAAATGAAATATCAAGAAAAGAGTTTGAATACTGGCTCCACTTTGCATGTTAACTAGCGGTTCAACAAGTAATACATATTCATGTTATTTCTACTTATCATTTTACAGTCAACAAAAATGAAATAGATGATTTATTCAGTTCCCCAAATTGCAGCATATCCCTGTTACTGGCTAATTAAATTTCCTTACCTAACTTGACGATATATACATGATGAGTTCTCTAAGACAAGTTTCACATGTAGAACAAACTGATACATTGCAACCCACGCATCTGACATCTTATCAACTGAGAGTTTTGACTTGCTGATAAAAAAAGCTAGATGCAATTTCTACTAAAAAGAAGATAGAAAACCAAAATAGAAACTCCATCAAGATCACTGCCATCAGGATCTCGAAAGTCGTCAAAGTTATAAACTATGGAGCAGCAAAATATATGCTGAACACAGCTAGAAATCACCTCAATAAAACTAACGATTGCACTAATATCCGATCCATTTGGATCCTTCAGGGTTGATAGTGCTTCATAGATCATTGCATTGTACCTGAGTCATGAAGCAACAGAGTAAAATATCATCCAAATATTTGAAGAGACAGATTACATTTTGATATTATCTCATGAGAAAGAGTGCACAACCAAGCATATATTTTCCTTTTTCCAATTCTGCCCCTTTTGGTAACAAAGGCTAAAGAAATATATAGAACTGTTACTATCCCCTTTTTCCAATTCTGCCCCTTTTTAGTGCCCATGATTTCATATCTGAGTACCCATGCAACTATGCAAGTGCAATCTACTAACTATAATTTGTGTTATCAGATGTGTTGAGCCAGATATTACCACTCGCATACACTGCAGAAAATATGAAGTACTAAAGAAAAGCTAGAGTAATTGAACATGATAGCATATGAATCAACAAACCAGAAATGTTGACATATAACTTCCTCAATGAGTACGTAGGCTACAAGTATGACAAAGGTACTTCAAGTATTTAACGTACTTTGAAGTGGTCTTCCCATCTAGTACACATTGTGAAGAATCATCCATAAGCACATCTGTAGATGCTGGATCAACTACAACTAGAGCTGAGGAACCAGGAGCCTGTGCAATGGGCAATGGAGTAGCAGGAGAATCTGTGTTGACTTTTGGTTTTGGTGTTCTTGATTTTTCCCTTGGACCTTGACCATTTGCACTTACACTCATATTCCGCCATTTATCCTACAAGAGGGTAACACGTCACGCAAATAACAGGAATAATCAAATGATATATGGAAAAAATATATTCATGTCTTAAGTTGTAACAGTTTATAAAAGCGTATACATCAAACTTTTAAGTCATAAGCTATAAAGGTAACTTGGTTTGCAGATGGGTCGTTCAGACGAAGCACAAGTCATGGCCCCAAAAAGATTTTGCAGATCCATGACCGCAGTGACGCATTCCAATCAACAATGAGAATGTAAAATATGAATTAAAATGAAAATCAGTCAAAAGCCAGTTTCTATTTAAACTTCTACATCAGCAAAAAACAATTTACATCTAGATTGGAACTGATCCTGCTCCCCGTTAACATACAAAACTCAGATGCCCTTTACATAGCTGTCCACCAAAAATTCAATTGAATATGGACTTGAGACTTAACTGGTCTGATCTCCCAAATTCAACTTTGTAGTAGACATGTTTCAAGCCTGGCACCAGAATATCCCTATTTGAAGTAGTTATAAAAATTCCTTCAAAATTTCAATAATCCATGTCAATTTTGGAGTCAAAAACACGTTTGTCATCAGAATTCACAAACATTATGTCCAAAATCTAACGCCAAAGTCAAAATTTCAATTCCAGAGATCAAACGGCGCAAGTCCCCAAATCCAAAGTCAAATTAGACTTTGTCGCAATTTTTTTCACAGACGTACACCTCAAAACCTCAAGAATAAATGTCAATTCCGAACCTCCAAAATTAGCACGTTTAACACTACATTTAGAATCAAACACCAAAGGGAAAAATGGTATACAATCACAATTTTACAAAAAAAACCAAAACAATTTCGAAAACACATTCTCCGTTTCATCCAAAACAAACTGGTGTATACGAACATCCATAAACATATAAATAGATTAATAGTCTCACCTTGAGATCGATATTGGAGCGAGAATATAGGAAGTGGTTGAACTCGGGATCTTTCTGAATGTTCTTCCACTTGCCGGTACCGTGTTTTGCGACGCCGGCACGTAGGGCTTCTTCTTCCTCCGACGTCCACTTCTGCTTCGGATTCCCCATCGCCGCCGGTAGTTATTTTTCGTGGTCTTAAACCCTAAATGGAGATGACAGCTGAGAACCCCTATCACCAGTATATTTCCATAAAGGGCAAAACCGGCATTTACCCCAAATAATTTTATTATTTTACCTCGAGCATGTTACAAAATTAGTCCCTGTAGTTTCGTAAAAAGTATAAACAAGGTCCCTCATAGTTGTACTAAATATTTTAATTTTAGAGTAGATTATTAATTATGATTTTTATCCATGTGGTTTGTTAATAATAACGATTTTCGTCATTGAGGTTTAAGAATTGTAATTTTAGCCCTTATGATTTACAATTTAACTCAATCTCAACCGTCCATTTAATTTGATGAACATGTGATCTCATAAAAGTTTTGATTGTTTTCTAATATAACGTATTGATCATGATCAATGAACTCTAGTCATCTTTCATGAATATTCAAATCATAATAAATGAAGTTTCATCATTTCCATAAGTATCTCAATTGATTGAGTTGCATTGGTTGTACAAATGTGATGGGTTGCATTTGAAACGTCCTCTCTCTCTCTCTCTCTCTGAATGCTTGGAAATTTATGGTGAAAAAGGTACAAAAAATATTTCCACCCTTAGATCGATTATAATTAAAAATAAACACTAGATCAATTTTCTTTTAAAACGCAATTCATGGGTTGGTTTGAGATTAAAAACAATCAATGGTTCAAATCCTTTCTTGCACTTTTCACTTAACTCTTCTTCTCACACGATCATTCGTATGTGTATGTGTATATTTATACTACTAGAAGGGTACTCGCGCAATGCAAATTGTGCGCAATCACAACTTATTAAAACTCCATATTTGAATTTGTGAACTAATTGCAGATAAACATAGTCAATACAAGATAAACATTTTATTTTGAAATATAAAAAATCTAAAATATAATTAGGATAATCATTGAATTTTAACATAATACATAATCATTATATTTACAAAAAATTATATAATTAAATCAGAAATAAA